AATAAATCCTTGAACGGGTCTCTAACCTCAAAACACGGGCCGAACGTGATTCCACAGCCAAGGGACGACCTCACAACAGAGGCAGCCACGGCACAACATAAACCTGAACCACCAACAACAAACAACGGGCTGACACTAATTCCTCGCAACCCGGCTTACCTCGCCGCCGGGACCGCCCTCGAGCCGCCGGGGACGACCTTGCGTCACAGCCCAGATCCACCAAATCGCAATTGCCGACCATACCTCGCAGTTGGTGCCGAAATTTCCTTCAATCGCCGGCCAACTCTGAACAGCCCTAAATCACCGACCTCACACCGCGGCCATCTACGTCGCCCCACGCCACAGCAGCGCCGCCAGCTCAGTAGGTGCCGAATCGCCGCCGACGCCGGGAAGCAAGCGCCGTCCTCAGATCCCGATACCGCCGCTGCTACCGGAAAACGGACCCCGTCGTCAGCATCGGACGCCGACCTGCCGTTGCCGCCTGGGAGAGTAGTCGACGTTTTTTGTTTGTCAAAATCGAGCAGCACTTGAGGGAGCTCGTCGATTTGAAACGATGAAAGTGAAGACGGCGCAACTGCTGGAAAGAAAACGGACTAATAAGCCTTACCCCGTCACCTGTAGATGGGCCTTATCCAAATACCTCTGGGGCCAATATTCCATAAGCCCAGGTAAGTTTTATTTAAGGTATACTTCTTCAATACAAATAATAATAATAACTAATATATGTGCGTGTACTGCGCAAATATAAATGCACTGCCGCACGTAATAAACATAACAGGTATTATAGCCGATTAATCATCATATATGTATTATATTTATAATATATATTATGTATTATATTTATAATATATAATGCATATAATACATTGAGTAACGCATAAATATATACATATATACATTCATTTAAAAATATAAATGATAATAATGACAATAAGAATATGACAATATTAATAAATAATATGTAAAAGCATATGTACCGCACACATATATGTACTACATGAACATATAATCAGGTACTACGCATCAAGATATATATTTATATGTATATATTTTATGATAATGTTGTGATATATATCTTGTGACAATAATCGTATATGTATATATAATAAGTGACGCACACAAGCATTACATATGTGTATTATATATCATATATAGACGCATATATATATATATATATATATATATATATATATACATGAATATATACCCTTATATATATATATATACATGAATGAAAATATATGTCGAACCTCATTCGTGAAAGTTGAGTCGAGACGGGAAGGATCGGGGGAAGTAGGTCTGCTGCAAGCCTTCGGGATAGGCACGGCCGCTCCTCTGACACTTCTCAGTCTCAGAAGGTCACGAGGCCTTCGAGCCGTGACAACATTATTTCACCCGCCGTTGAGCCCTTGCTCCGGCGAGGTTGATGTCATTATCCTGTCCGGCGACGAGCCCTGCTCTGCCGGGCTGACGTCGTTACATCGCCCGTCGTAGAGCCCTTGCTCCGGCCGATGTCATTATCCAGTCCGGCGACGAGCCCCTGCTCTGCCGGGCTGACGTCGTTACATCGCCCGCCGTAGAGCCCTTGCTCCGGCCGATGTCATTATCGCCGCACGTGACAGACGAAACGTGAGATACGCCAAATTTCAAGTCAAACCACTCTCATATCAAATCAACGACGTCCCCCTACACGGGGCCTACCGACTTGAACACCTGGACGGCACGCGCCCATCAATACCCATAAAACTCGGCATTTCTGCAGAAGTCCTACCAATAGGTCTAGGCTATTCTCACTCAATGAGTGACGTTATTGTATAGATTATTCGATGAGCTAGGTCAAGAATGTAATTTACCTTTTGCTTTTAGAGGCTAGGTCGTCTTAGGCTTAGATCGAGTCGAAGCAGCGTAATTAACGTAAGGAACGAAGTGTTGGCTAGGATCAGTACGATGACCTAGTCGGCACTAGCCGGGCTCAACTAGGAAGCCCGGTCAGGCCAATAATACCACCGAGTACGAACGCGAGACCGGCCGGGTAAGCTGCCACGTAATTATGTGCAGGTCGGGTCAGTACGATGGCCTGGTCGGCACGAGCCGGGCTCGGCAAAGTAGCCCGGTAAGGCCAAAGTCGCCAACGTAAGAA